TGGATAAAAACTATTTTATGATTGGTCAACTACCTCATGATCAGACCCGTGCATTTCCGAAAAATACAAAAGTCCTCTCTGCTATAATAAAATATCAAGTTTATCTTGAAAATAAATGATGGGTTCTAAAGTAAATATGAAATCTAAAGGTATTATATAGATCTATAGCATAAGTATAGTAAGGTTATACCCGGATTAGAGGTTACCTGTGAAATAGAAATTAGATTATAGTCAGAGAGTTTAAATAGGTATTTCCATAGTTGGAGTGCAGGTATGACAAATAGTGTAGAATTTTGAGTGGACTACTTAAATTAAACACCAAAAGTGCATATGTGGCTTGATATACTCTTACTGTAACTAAAATATACTTCTAATAAAAATTTTTCAGCCAAAAAGGTTACCTTAATACTGAAAAAAAATAAATAAAATAAAATATAATTATATATAGGTCTGACTTAGTGTTAAGCAAATTAGTAGTTAATCAAAAATTTAATAGTCAAATGATTAAATTAGTTAAATTAATCAAATCTATTATATAAATACAGTATATTATACAGTATAATAAATTACAGTATATTTAAATATACTATTTAATCCCAAAATCCATGAATCATTTTAGGGTTAAAGGATTAGAAGCCTCTACTCATTGGAATTAAATTATAAATCAAAGAGTAACTTTCTAGTTAAATTGCAGGTATAGTGGCTAATACAAAAAAGAGTGTCTAGTTGTACTCTCATTAATGATATCTAGTGTAAATATCCGGGGCGGATTACTTAAAATAAGCGACCAAAAGTCGTACATGTGGCTAGTTGTAACTGAAATTAAGCATTTAATAAGATACTGTGTGGCCAGAGAAATCACCTTACCACTAAAAAAAAAAATAATAATTACTATTTGAACAATTTGACCAGTACATATCCTTTGACCAGACCGGTCATATTGCAAATTGGTCTGGTCTAATGGTCAAACTAGTCTGGTCAAGCCAACACTGTATAAGCATAAAAAAATTTACTGTAAATTTGATTATTTTTTGCTTGAATTTTTATACGTATTAGTGTTTGTAATTTATCAACTTGACTTAGCCAAATTCAAAAATCAGCTTAGCCGACTATGCCTTTAGTGTGTAAAATAATTTATATGTCTATTTTCCCTAAATCTTCCGGCTAATATCAAGTCGACCACACGTAGAAAATCAACAAACAGTTACGTACATACGTACGTAAGTGATTTCGGTTAGACCTATTTTGGAATTTAAGCAAATCTAATCTTTCGAAATTTTATGGGTCCTTGGACCGGCATTGGTTTCAACCAAACAGACAGAAAGATGTCTTCATATGTGCAACAATTATATAAGTAAAGATAATGGTAAAAAATGTCACGAACGGTTATACTTTTCTTTGGCCTATAACTATTCATTCTTTGCAAGACTTTTTTTTTTTTTTTAACGGGTCAGGGATTTTTGTGATAACCAAAGAAAATAAACTTTTATGACATAAAAAACAATAAATGCTGACAAAAAAGAAACAACTAACAAATTTAGAGTGTAAACGAGAAGATAGGGCAACAAATGAGTCCGATTCATCACTAAAATTAAGCCTAGAGTTTGAAGTTGGAAGAGCGTTGGTATTGCGACCCAATCAGATTGTGAGAGGTATTGATTAATGTGCTGCACGGAATTCTATTATTATAAGTAGAATTATAAATAACCATGTTTGCTCGGTCTAAACATATCATTAGGAGCAATTATATTAAAGGTTTCCGAAACTGATAGAACCATATGGGCATCTACCATTAAAGTCAAATTTCGAGGTAGTATTTTACAGTAAATTATGTTCACACCATTGATTCTGATTGTGCTCTAAAAAATCGACTATTTTATCTTAAAGCGGATGAAACTGCTACATCTCATCTAATGTCATGCACTGCAAGAACCACATTTTTTGAATGTAGCAGTACAGTTTGGAGTGGTAGCCTTGGGGGTAGAGGTAATTTTTAATATATACGAATGATTTAAAAATGAAACCTGAAATATTTTTATGCATTTGATAGATTGTTCAGCCCTAACCAATAGAACTATTTAACATTAAATCGCGGTTTCAGAAATTAAATTCATAAAGTGAAAGCCAGCAATCAAATGCATAAAAATATTATAAAAAATATTGTAGGTTTTCTTGACTTCATTTATACTGTCAACTCGAAAGAAAGATACAGAATCGCTTAATTAGACCAGTAATTAATTAAATGAATCCAATAGCAACTTTAATTATGCTTTTCATTAATAGTTAATGATTATTGTCCCTGGAAGGAGCTTACTCCAGGAGCGTATAGGTTTAATTTTGCACTAAAGGTAAGGTTTCAATCATAAATTAGTTTTAATTGAACCGAATGTAAAATTGTTCATTAAAATTTTAAATTTAATTTTAAGTTACCCGCCGTAAACTTTCCGCCATCGATCGAGGTATCGTGTTTGTAAACAAATCTATGGCTTCTGTATTAATAGAATATTGCGACCATAACAATTTTAATTCAATCGTTCAGGGACCAAAAGGGTTCTCAATACGTTACGTATGGCAGCCTGTGATTGAAGGTGCTGGTGGAACACTCATTGAAGGACCCGAAGTTGTTACACCTTTCATTCCGATCTATTTTGCACCACCTGATCAAGTATGGACCTATAAAGAGACCTTACGTAATGAAGATAAAATTTTGATGCACGTTGAAGCGATTCTACCAAAGCATGTGTTTGCACCCGGTAATTATTACACATTTCCATTGCTTCTTGATTTTATATATACATATATCCCTTAATTGATTGAATATCCAATTTGAATTTACGCAGGTGAAGAATTTAATTTCGCTCTTCATATTACAAACCATTCTGCCGGACGTATCACATACACTCAATGTTCTCTTCGTAAACATTATGAAGGTCCTCTTGATAAGGATATCATATGTGACAAGCATGAACGTTCGCTTGCTTCTACTGAAGGACGTTGTGATATACCGGCCATGCAGCGTCTGCAGACCGGAAAGATCGAATTTTCACTTACAATTCCTAAGAAACACCATCATGTGCCTCCGACATTTACAGGGCGTCATTTACGAGTGTACTACACTTTGCGATGCGTTATTCAAGTAGAATCTGGTAAATTTATTACTAACATGCAATTCTATGAAGTTACCATTCCTATTTCTGTGGCATCATTCCCACATTTGAAAGGACTAGTCAACTCTTTCCCTCCATATTCTGAATCTCGTGTCAAACCGTACTTTTTTGATCCTAAAGAAGATTTTCCACCTGATCATACTGAAAACATTAAATCACCTTATTCCGTTTTGATGTCGCAGTTTGACGCATTTTGTGAAGGATTTGATCTAGATCCATACTCTTATTATTATAGTGATAATACCTCTAGTAATAATGGTAGTCTTATTGAAAATACACGATTCGTTACCATACCTAATAATATATAACATCTATTCTCATGATGAAATGAAAGACTGTATTCACTACATAATCTTTGCTTGAAAGCTTAATTCTTATTAACCTTGAACGAAATTTATTTTAATTAGCATATGTAATAGTAATATTAAAAATATGCTATTCTTAAAATATTAATTTATTTTGTATGAGCGATAGAATTATCAAGTTCAAATACGTGTTAAAAAAAGTATCGGTATTGATTATATTTACAATAAAGGGAACTGATGTTTCCACACTTTTTGTTTGATATTCATGTAGATCACTTTATTTTAAAAAAACGTTGGTTTCCGGAGCATAACCTGGTACACATTGGGTTGCATTCTTTAATTGTGAATTAATTAAACGTTAAAAGATTAATGAACAAAAGGAGATGAACCCAGTTTTTCCTAATCGTCACTTTATGGGTTATTAAGCACCATTTTCAATGATATTTTATCCCCTAACATTCTAAAACTTTAGAAGGTTAAAATTTTACGATTGCAGGATTGATTGTACATCTCGGGTGATATTTGAAATTGGAAATCTTATCCTAAACATTACGATTGATTGTACATCTCGGGTGATATTTGAAATTGGCACAATCTATTTAATTCCATCGAACACTAAGAAATTTTGCATACATTATAATCATATCAAACATTCTAACATTAATTAAAATTAATGCCATTAATGAACTGTCACTGCTATTCTATTATATAACGAGTTTCATTTTCAGCTCTTTTTTAGTTCCCGGTCTTTCAAGTATTGTGCGATAATTCGTAGATTGTGTACGCTACTTGCTCTAGAACTTCTCTTTGATTTGCGAAAATGTTGAAACTCTTTGTCAGAATTTCCTACTAACATCTAAAATGAATGAAACCGTTAAAAACCAATTTAATGCTGTAATAATAGCGATTTAAAAATATGCTCGCATTAAGGTAAAATTAGCCTGGAACTAATTTTCACTTAATACAGTAATACACAATGTATGTACAAGGGTTCTAATACTTACTGCCCACGTGACTACTGAACGAATTAAAAATGGAAATGAGTTAATTTCAGAGTTATCTGTCGGGATTTTGCATATGTCTACTTCAAATATTCTATAGAAATCTAAGTTGAAAAGAAAGTCAGAAATTTTCAAGCAAAGCAAAAAGTATATATTAATGTACGTACTGTACTTAGATAATCCATGAAGTAAAACTTTATGCTTCTCTCGAAAACTTGAACCATGTATGATTTAAAAAAGCAGGTAAAGCTAGGGTGTAATCATAGTTAGGGTTATTAAGTTCGGATTT